GTTCCATGTGAGTCAGCCATGTGGTGTGGCAAATGTAGAAGTTCGTGCCATTTAAGCTGTTTTAGCAAAGTCTCTGTTATATTTCATCTTGTTGGCTCCAACCCCTCATTTTCAAATCTGTTTGACTCTTACTTCCATCCTGGGGAACAAAATAGCATTGTAAAAAGAACTCTTAGCTAGGAAAATAAAACTTTGGAACTAACTTTAAATGAAGATAGTAATTTTAAACACTGAGCAAGAGTCTGATAAGTTGTTTTCTTTGTAAATGGGCTTAGATTTTGAAACAAGATGTAACATTCTTCAAAAATTGTTGTGAAATTTAAGAGAATCCTTAAGGCAAGAGCTAAGATGTTAATAAGAAAAGTAACCCTGCCATATATGGAGGAGCTTGAGATGCAAAACTAAAGAAGGATATAGAAGGATTTTATTGTGAATATTGGAAGAGTGCTTATTCACATACTTACGCACTTATAAAAGTAGAGCTGTACCTATAGTAGGTATGTTGTGAACCTAATTTGAGTTTTGTATTAAGAATAAAACTTCTAATACTCAGAGTCCTGCAAAGCAAGAGAGCAGACCCTCCTGGGAAGAGTTTCAGCAGCTGCTAATGGATATAGCTAGTGCTGAGGAGAAGCCTGCCAGGTAGTGCCTCTTTCCAGATGTCAACATGTAAAGAATGGTACCAAGGGGAAAACAGGTGGAATCTCAAAAATAACAAGACAGGAAACATGCTTGATATTTGATGGTGACTATTCATTTACAATCTTTTCAATGTGACCAGTGGAGATGCTTAGATGCTTGTAATCACTTTTAAGTAGAAGTGGACCAAGAAATGTGTGTAAGGTTGCTGCAACTTTTCCAACGTGCCTCTGCAAAATGGAACTGAAGATAACTCTCAAAGTTATGTTTTCAGAAGAAAGAGAGCAGCTCCAAGTGCTACATAGATTCTTGAGTACATTTATGGGACTAACCATTCTAAGATATTGCCTCTGTCGAGAAGAACAGAAAAGACCTTACTAAAACTCTTTTTAAAAATCTTTTTCAGGCTGGGGAACATAGCTTAGTGGTAGACCACTTGCTAGCAGCATACCTTGGGTTTAATCCCCAACACTGCTAGAAAATAAATTTAAAAACCCATCCGTTCAACCATACTTTCATTGCCCCTCCAAAACTGAAGTCTAACTCTGTGAACAACTTACCAAATTTTATGCTTACAATAAAGCTTTCAGTTTAACTGTGTCTAGTTTAGTGGAGTTGACACTAAATATAAAAGATTATGAAGTATGTGTTGGTCAATCTGACCTTGTCCAGAATGAGATGATTTTTATTCTGTGCTTGCAAAAATAGTGTCATAAATATCTATACAATTAAGTACACAGAGTTATTAAAATATGCTCTCCTAGTAAAGCAGCACAAAAATATTAAATAAACAAAAAAGCTTCAATTGAGCATATTTCATTTGCTTAAAGGACACTAAGAAAGCCAGGGAAGCAAAGTTTCTGATGGCAAGCAGGCAATCTGGAGATGATTTTAGGAGTGGTGTGATGTGACAAATTGCTTCTGTACACAATTTTCACTCCAGAAAATGATTCATCTTCTGTTTCCATCACATTGCTCTTCCTTACCGATGTGTGTGTCTATTCTGCTATCTCTGGAGTCTGAGGAGGACCAAGTTTTCCTTTGTGATTGTTGCTTCTAAGATACAAAAGCGGTAGAGAAAAAGAAACCCACAGAAGACTGCCTTTTGGGGGATATCTTTCAAAATGTGTATGCTATTTGTTTGGTCCCATGTTGTTTACTTTGAGAGTGCAGAGATAATCATAGAATAATAATCTTTTTTAAATAACACATTGCATGTTGTAAAAAATTATTTATAAACTTAAATGAATATAAAAATGAACATTGTCTAAAATAAATATGAAGAAGAAAGAGTTTACAGATTAGTCACAAAACAGTTCACTAGGTGCCAAAATCAAGAAACTTATATTCACATAATTAGAATTCTCAAAGTAGAAGGGGGTAAGCAATAAATATTCAAAGATTTAAAATTTTCAAATTCAGTTAAAATTATAGCACTACATTTCCAAGAAAACAGAAACTTTTGCACAAGAAATATGAATAAAATCATACCAAGATACACAAAAATGAAATTGCCCAAAACTAATGGTAAAGAAAAAATTATTAAAGCATATACATAAAAATATTAGCTATGGAAGAACAAAATTGAATAGCATCTTATTCCACATTAGAAAAAACAGAGCAACTGGGTAAGAAACTAGACTTATTTATTCAAAGGACTGAAAAAAAAAGATCTGTCCTCATTGAATTTTATACTTAGCAAACATACCTTTGAAAACTAAAATTAAAATATTTTCCAGTTATATAAATTCAAAATATTCAAATACCTCCAGACGTAACACATAGAAAATAGCAAAGACCATAGTCCAGAAGGCAAGAGAAGTTGTTCTATGGCCCTGGATAAAGACTAGAGCTCTCAAAGTGGTAGTTATGCAGGACTATGTGAAATATACTTATATTAGACAAACACATTTAAAAGGTCATTGAATATTTCCACAAAACAGTGTCAACCTTATGTCAGGCTATATGCATATTTTTTCATATATATACGTGTGTGTGTGTGTGTGTGTGTAAAAGAAAAAGGAAAACTAGTATAAAGTCAATGGAAAATGGAAATACATTTTTTAAAGTTTCTAATACTAGGAGAAAATATACCATATCTTATAAGTAGATTGTAAGTCAAAGAAACAGTATAAAACAAAAATTAAAATTAAACAATATTCAGAAAATTAAATATTAATTAATTCAAAATTAAATATTTCAAAATAATATTCAAAAATTAAAATTAAATTGTGAGTTCAACTAAGAGGCCAGAATGTATGGTATCATATGTACGAATCTGTAATCAATTCAGAGTACTCACACAGTATTTGATTAGGTTAATATATGCAAAAATATCAACTAAGAAAAAGTTTTCATGATAGTAAAGCTCTTCTAAGGGTAAAACATAACAAAAATAGTGGAATGGCAAATATATGACCAGCACTTCTAACAGTTTGGGGATAGGATATTGAACAAAGTTCTAGTATGTGGTGGATGTGGACAGTGTCCATGACACTTACTGGTGGCCTGGTGTCACTTGTGGGACTGAGGTACTGCTATTTCCTCGATATCCACCCTGTAAACCTGGACAGCATCATGACCCATAGGGTGCAGGAGGAGTCCATTTGTTCTGTATGCTGATGGGAATATTTTTCTGTTGTATACAAAACAAAGGAAGACTGCTATTGTATATCTCTTTTTCTCCCGTGTTTAATTGTTTGGCCTATTTGGTGGGTTCTTTCCATTCTCATTTATGGAACTGTGGTCATTTTGGTCCCTCTCTAAGATATCTTTTAGTAGTCTATGTAGGGTTGGCTTTGTCGTCATGAAATTCTTTAGTTGTTCTTTGTCATGAAAGTATTTCACTTCTTTATCAAACTTGAAAGAGTTTTTCAGGGTATAGTAGTCTGGGCTGGAATTTGTTTTCATAGAGGACTTGTACTCTGCTCCATGCTCTTCTTGACTTGATGGTTTGTGAAGAGAAATTTGCCGTTATTCTGATGGGTTTTCCTTTAAATGTGATCTGTTTCTTTTCTCTAGTGGCTTTTAATACACTGTTCCTGTGTTGAATTTCTGGGATTTTGATTATTATATGTCTGGGTGAGGTTTTAATTGGGTTGATGTTATTTGGCATTCTGTGTGCTTCAGTTACTGAATGTCAGATTGCTTCCCCATATTTGGGGAGTTTTCTGCTATTACTTCTGCTCATATTCTTTTCTTTTTTTATTTTTAAACTCAGCTGTATTTATTATCTTTTAGCAGAATGTCACCTGGGCACTCACTTCCACTCACGGGCCCTGTTCCGAATGATTTTTGAAATAGCTCTGTGGTATCCCTAGAAGTTGTCTCTCCCTTGAAACAGTCCTTTTCTTTGGAAAACAAGCCCGTGCAGCTCCTGCCATCCAGTTTTCAGTATACCATACTTCTAGAAGCCTAGGACATGCAGATCTGAAACTACTGGGGGAAGTTTAATAAAAGATCCTATAAGAAAA